AAGTTAATAAGAAAATAAAATAAACTTTTATTACAAAGCCATTCTAAAGCAATAAGTAATGAGAACAGTATGTTTATTAATTCCATTTCCATTAGAACAAAGAGAGATAATATTTATTCAAACACATCATTCAACAAGAAATAACATCTTTTCTAAGACCCTTTTAGTGTTCTTACCTTAAGTTACCAGATGTCAATTTGCCAACATCTTACAGAAGCTGAGAATTGTCCTTTAAAGTCTGTGTGTGTGTGTCATATACTACACAAATATCTAACAAGTCTATCTTATGCTTAATAAAAAAAAATGTTTTCTAAAACTTCTTTGATCATATTTATTTTTTCATCAGCCTCCACACCACAAAGATGGCATCGTTAGATGAAGTTGCTGTGAAGTATTTCACCAAAAGGGCGGAGTTAATGTTTTCAAAGAACAATGTTCAGAAAATGTCAGTTGGGAGATTTCAAGGATGCCTGAGTCAGGCTTCTAGAGATGTTTTGGAATACTTCCAATTGAATTATGCTGGCAGGTTCAAAAAGTTTTTCATGGATCATCCAGATAGATTTCTGGTAGATTCTGAAAACAACATATTATTGGTGAGACAACCTGCTGACTCTTCAGTTAAAGTAAAGCCACAAGTATCTGAAAATGCAGATGTTGAAAATTTAGAAGAAGGAAAGATGACTCCATTGTCTGAAAACCTGGCAACTTTGGGCTTTCTAAGTGCTTTTCTTAAGACAAAAGTGCAGCCAGTTCCTCTATCAGAAACTTCCTTAGCCTACTCGTTAATGAATGACAACATGAAGAAGCTTATTCAAACATGTGAAGGACATGCCATTTCACAAAAAATAGCATCTTTTCTAAGATCCTTTTGGTTTTTTGAAATATCAAAAGCTAAGAAAATTCACCTCAAGAAAGATAAAGAAATTCACGAATATCTTGGAAAAGCTGAGAATTTTGCAATAAAGTCTATGTGTATTTGTTATATACTCCAAGGCTACACAGATATTAAACAAATCTATCATATACTTAATGAAAAATATAGATTTTTAGTATCAAAATTTCTAGGACTAGAAGAATTTTCTACGTTTTTAAATAAACACAGAAACATTTTTTTTCTTCCTGGAGGTGGAAAAATCCACATGGTTCATGATCCAAGTAAAAAAGAACCAGTAGATAATGAATACAAATTCTTAAAAACCATCAGTGAAAAGCTGGATAAATCACAAATTAACAACCATAATGTTTCAAGACCTCCACCTGGTGAATTCCAAAACACTAGATATGCTGATGTAGTTGAGTGTCGTAGTGGAACTGTGGAAGAAAAACGTATGCAGAGCAGTCAAATTAATCGTACGTTCGTACACGTTGAAAGTGAAGATGGTCAACGGTCCCATGATGTCGTATCATCACATGTTCCATCCATTAGTACCGTGGAAGGTCCAGATACTACACAAAAAATTGGCAGTTGCTGCTCTTTTGAACCACATGCTACAGTCGCTTCTAAGTCAGCAAGTGATTTTGAACCACATGTTACAGTGGCTTCTAAATCAGCAAGGGATTTTGAACCACTTGTTACAGTGGCTTCTAAGTCAGCAAGTGAAAATGACTGTAAAATTATTTATTCCACTGATAACGAAGATAGTAGAAAAGAAATTTCAGCAAATTTACACAACTTACCAGAGGAACATATCAAAATATGGCATTTTGTGAAGGAAGTTATAGGTCATGTTGTGTATGTAGGAAGAGAGGGCAGTATTATACAGTGTCTGTTAAATAATGCTGAAGGTTCAATATCTTGTTTAATATATTATCCTAACAATTCGTACGACTCTGATGACAGAGGATGTAAGGCACCAACATTATCAATGCTCACAGTTGGCTCTTTAGTAAGATGCATTCTAGATGATAATATCGGATATCAGTTTGGTGACAAGGTAATGATGTTTGCCAAAAACATCATCATGGATAATAACTCTGGTAGAAATGGAGTTTATCATTCTCTCGGAGAAATTACCAAAACAACCGATTGTGCAAAAGATAGAAAGATTGAAAGCTTAGTGAGTGATTCTTTAACTAAAAATGATGATCATGATGACAACAGCATTGTTCAAAAGAAAAGGATAAATTCATCTTCTTGTACAAAAAATAGTAATTTGAATGATACAACACATCCATCTGTATCTTCAGCTGATGAAAAGCTTAGAGCCACAGATAATTTTCATTTTGTTTTAACATCAGATGAAGCTGTCATTCAACCTGAACCAAATACAGATCCTAAGTCGCACACACAACAGCCTGTATTTGTTTCTTCTGAAACCAACTGCAGTAGATCTTCAGCTGTGTTGGGGGAAAGTAACTTGAGTATCTGGAATATTGATTCTGATTCACAGCAGGAAAGAGACAGTCAGCAGGACTCTCGACATGAAGGCACAAAAGATGATATTGATGTTACCTATCTATCTGGGTTTCAAGATGCTACTAAAATTTTAATGCAAGTCCAGTTGGAAATTGGTTCCATACTTGCACAAAAAAGGAATAAAGGCAAACAACCTGAAGACGTTCTTGATGATGTAGGCAAAGTTTACAGTAGCAAAACTGGATTTTATAAGGATTGTCGAAGTGTAACTGATCACCAAACACAAACCGAAATTATAAGTTTAAATTCTTCCTGTCAGACCATTTCCACTGGTCCTGTTTATATTAAAAAGTGTTATTACTAATGATGCATGTTGAAGCCTTCTGTATAATAGTTGTTACAGAGTATATATCAAATATTTTAACACTTAGTCTGTGAGTCATTGATCCTAAATTCAAAAAATTTTTCACATATTCAAATTAGAATCGAAGCAAAAGACATTTCAGTAAAGGGTTTATTTACTGCCAAAAGAACTCACCTTT